AAGGAAGGAAGGAAGGAAGGAAGGAAGGAAGGAAGGAAGGAAGGAAGGAACTCAACCTCCTTCTCCCTCTTCGTGCCTCCCAAAACTTTGATCCCCAAGTGGCAAACCCTCTTGCAATCCAAGTGGATTTGAATGGCAAATACTGATCCAGCTGATCTCTCCCAATCTTCAGGTCTGGCATTTGTCCCTGGGTACAATGGGACTCAGAAGAAAACAGATGGGTGGATTCTGTGAAATTGAGGGGGGAGGGCTAGCAATTAATTTTCTAGCTTAAATTAATGTGCAAGTCAGGAATGAGGATCTCAGGTCAAAGCACATTTCAACCTACCCATGAAGTGCTGTCTGCTAAGTATGCGCCCAGGGCGAAAACTTTAAAAAGGGAAAAAGAAAAAAGGGAGGAGGGAGGGAGGGAGGGAGGGAAGTCTCAGAAGCTGCTAAAACTTTAAAGCAGTGGGAGAAAGGGACGAGGACTGCAGAGTAAACTCTGATTAACTTCCTTTTTGGTGCTGACAGCATTGTGCCTGCTCTCTTTCACTTGTTTTTGACAAAGTGCAACGTCACTTCTTCACTCCTTTCTTCTTCGCCTTCTTCTTTCTTTAAGAGTACCAACATATAGATCATTTCTATAAATAAGCATATACATATATATAAATACCATAATAGACATTTATGTCCCAAGAGGAGGCTGTGCTCTCCCTCTTCCTTCATGTGCAAAACACCAGCTTGGACTCTCCGGCAGGAATCACCCAGGCCAGGCCGGTTTGACTGTGGGGCAGAGACAGACGGGTTGGCCCACCTGCCCCCCCCAGCTCAATCGATCCCACTGTCAGTGGCTGCTGCAGACCAGAGGTTTCCACGCATCGCCTCGCTCCTCCGGCTCCAAGACCCATGGGGGACACCAATGGGCTCAACTGCCCAGGCAGGCAGGCAGGCAGGCAGGGGGGCTCTTCTTGGGGGCCAAAATTTCAGGGCGACCCTGACTGAAGTGGGCATCCAACTGCAAACACGGAAACTGCCCAAAGTGACTTCTTCCCTCCTGAGTGGATTTTCCCTGGCACAGCTGGCAGTTTCCCCCTTGGTCCAGCACTCTGCAAAGAAGCTCCAGAATCCATGAAACGTTCCCTGCCTCGGTTGGGTTGGGTTTGGCTGGGTGAAAGTGACAAGGACGGAGCTCTGGGTTAGCCCGAGGAAAAGGCACCGCCAGCTGATTTTGAAGGAGCTGGGACTGAAGTGGGTTCCCCAGCTGACAGCCTCCCCCTTCCCGCTCTTATTTTTCCTTCCTGCTGCTTTCGGAGACCCCACTTCCCCTGGGCCGCCCCCTCGCCTTCATTCTCCTCCTTGGGCTTAAAAAGTGCAGCATTTTGATGGTTTACAGTAACAACACAAAAGCTGCAGCTGTGATCATGTGGAGTGTGTGTGCGTATGTGTGCGTGTGTGTGTGTGCAGAGGCCAGGACCCTCACAGTTCCTCCTCAAGGCTCCAGCCACCTGTGCCTTGGGGATCCCAAGCTTTTGGAGGCCAGGATCCCACGACCCGACGTGGCCGGAGCAGAGCTGTGTCCACGGAAGCCTCACTTGGGGGACCCTCAGCCACGGCCACTCCCAGGCCCGTCTCCCTGGTGGTGCATTCGGCTGCCCTTGTCAGCCCAGCCACTCGGCCTTCGAAAAGGGGCAAAATAGAAGCGCGGGCAGGGGGGTGGATGAAGAGTCCCTTTTGTTGGGGGCTCCTCCGTGGGGAGTAAAAGCAAGGCTGCCTTCTCTTGTTGGGGGGGGGCTCTGCCCCCTCTGCAGCTGAAGAGGCTGGCAGGAGAGTAGGGGGCACCCTGGCTGGGGAGGGAGGGAGGCTGCGATGGACGCCTAGAAGCTACGAGAGACCAGTCCCCCCCAGGAAGACTCAGACGTTGCTGATCCGCACGCTCAGCGGGGAGCTCCCCCGCTCCGCCTTCTCCCTGAGGGACTCCTCCAGCTTCAGCTTCTCGGGGTCCCCGTATCGGGGTGTTTCGTGGAGGCAGCAGGGAGGGGCCACCTTGATCACCTGCTCAAACATGCTGAAGTCGGCCACATACTTCCCGCTGGCCGAGAGGGAGATGACTGGGGTGAACTCGTAGCCCCACAGGATCTCCTCCGGCAGGTACGAGGTGCGGACCTGGCAGGTGGCGCTGGTGGACTCGACGGTGCCGCTGAGGATGACCACCAGCTCGAAGTCGCCTTCCCCCGTGTGCAGGGTCAGGTCCCGGAAGGGGCTGCGCTCGTTCACCACGTGGTAGAAGGTGAGGGGCAAGATGAGGAAGGGGCTGTCGGAGGACGTGTCCACCTGGAAGTCCACGTTCACCTGGTTCAGCCGGACGTTCTCCCCTTCCTTGGTGAGGTAGGTCTGCAGCAGCTTCCCCGTCACCTGGCAGCCGATCAGGAGGCTCTTCCGCATGTTGGCCACCCGGATCATCAGGCAGGTCCGGCCGTCGTGCTGAGCCACCACGGCGTTCTGGCTGAACTTGATGGTCTCCGCCCTCTTTTTGGGCCGGGCGATCTTGGCCAGGAAGGTGCCGGTGATGAAGATCTCCGTGATGGTGGTGAGGACCAGCTGGCTGATGAGCAGGACGATGGCAAGCGGGCATTCCTCGCTGATGTAGCGGAAGCCGTAGCCGATGGTGGTCTGGGACTCCAGGGAGAAGAGGAAGGCCCCCGTCAGCGTGTGGACCTGCATGACGCACGGCGTGTGGTTGGCGGGAGGGTCGAACTCCAGCAGGTCCCCGTGGAGGAGGGCCACCAGGTACCAGACGACCCCGAAGAGGAACCAGGTGCCGGCAAAGGAGGCCGAGAAGAGGACCAGCTTGTAGCGCCACTGCATGTCGATGAAGGTCGTCCAGAGGTCCTTCAGGTACAGGAAGCGCTTGTCCGCGATGTGCTCCATGCGCACGTTACTCCGCCCGTCTTTGGTCATCACCCGCCTTTTCCGCAGCGCCGGGCCGATCAGTGGGTGGCTGTCAGTTTGGGTGGTCTGGCTGTAGTAGACCTTGGTGGCTGAGGTCATCTGGGCAGGGGAGAGAGCAAGGGGGGGAGAGGGGCAGGTCAGGGGGCGCTCGCACCAGGGGGACACAGGGGGGCAATCACATCTGCATTTGGGTTGGAGGACAAAAGAGAAGTAACCCCCCCACCCCCTCCATCCCGGGGCGGCAGAGGGAGCATGAAATGTTACACGGAAGGTCTTTTTACCCCAAATGCAGTGGGGGTCCCAGCTAATCACAAAAATTCCCCCAGGGAGGCTACTTGGGTGCCCATTAAGCCAGGACCAAGGAAGAGCCTTGCTCTAAGGCCTCCTGCCTTGTGGTCAAGGAAGGCTGAGGAAGCCCCCTCCTCTCTGCTGGCTGAGATGACCAGGCTGCAGCCCTCCTCCCTCCTTCCCTGCGTATGAAGCCCAATGAACTGGAGGGGACACACACACACACACGGAGGCCAGGCCTCTCCCTCCACTCTCTCTCTCTAGCACACACACACACACACACACACAGAGCATGATGCCCACTGAGTGATTGTCCATTCTTCAAGCTCCCCCCCCCCCTTTTAATCCTGTTCCCAGCAAAAGAACAACCCTCCTTCCGGTTGTTTGAAAGAGCCTTTGAACTATCAGTGAATGAATCACCCTTCTGGGGTCCCTCATCCCTGCCCCCCCCTTTCCACGGGAGGAAAGCGGCATGGACCCCAATGTGCCTCTGCCCCCCCCTGCAGCCACAGCCCAGAGTCCCCCTGTCCCTTGAGCAGAGCAGGTGGGGGCTTCAGCAGCTCTTCCGTGCCTTGCGCTGCCCCACTTCTGAAAGCGAAGAGGTGGCTGTCCTCCCAGCGGGGAAGGGCCCCCTTCAGAGCTGCCCCCAAGTGGAGGGTCAGCTGGCCAGAGACCTTCCCTCGCCCATGGGACCCACGGTCCACCTTTGGGCCAGGGGGAACCTGCAGCCAGCCCCTCAGCCTTTCCTGGCTCCCCCTCTTGGCTCCCTGGCCAGCCTCCCCTTCCTCTGCCTGGCCTCCATCTGGGGCTATGGCTGCCCCCCTCCCCATCGGGCCTCAGCTTGGGAGCGCCCCCCCCCCCGGGTCCCTTCTTAAAGTCTCCGGCAGAGGGGGAGGCAGATTCTCAGGAGGGTCTCCAGGTCTCCGGAAGGAGAAAGGTGGGAGGCACTGGGGGGGATCTTCCAAAGGGCCCCAAAGTCCTGCCCCACAGCTGCCTGCCTGACCTCTACATGGTGGGCCAGAAGCGAAAGCCCTCGCAGGCGCTACAGTCACACGTTGCTCGGGGAGCCTTGCTATGCAGAGAATGAAGCTGGTTCTGGGTTCAAGTCAGGAGAGGAAGGCTGCTCTTCTCACAAAAAGGAGGGAAATTGGGGCAGTTGCACCACCGGCAGAGCTTGGAGGTTTTGTCATCCAGGCACCCAACTGTGTGCCTGGTGGGGATGCAGCCAAATCCTCTGCCTGGCAGGAGGGAGCTTGGCCAACTGCAATTGAAGCCTCCTTGTGTTAAAGATGGCATGAAGCAGGAGGACCCTCAGGGGAGTCTGGGGCCACAGCTTCAATCTGTGGACATGGCAGCTTCTGTGGTCTCCCTCTCCCCCTCAGCACCCCCCCCCCGGGAGTCCCAATCTCTCAGGGGGGCCCTGAGCCTCTACGGAGGACGCTATTTGCCAGATGCCATGAAGCCCCACCTGTTGGAATGCTGCCTTTCTTCTCTGCCCCAAAAGAGCTCCTTCTAGCTCCCCCCTCCCGCCAATCTGGCCCCCCAATGGCCCAAAGCGGCCCCTCCAAAGCCCCAGAAGTGGCTGCTGTTAACATCCCGGCAGCATTAAACATTAACTCGGTGCGCCTCGGCCTGCATTCATTAGGCAGGGAACGAGGCTGCCCCAGTATGTAAAAGTTTATAGCCTGTTTTACAAGGAGAACATAATGTATAACTATTTTCCCTCTCCCAAAGATTGTCTTCCGCCTGGGACTCCGGCTGCAGAATGAAGGGCCTCGGGTTGTCCGAGAGACGGATTCCGGAGGGAGCCAAGGGACGGCACCGGGCCTCTCTGCTGGACCAGGGGAACGGAGGGGCCCTCGGCCTCCTTCTTAAGTCTTCGGGCGGCTTCTCCCCACCCCCCTGGTTGCATCTGAGGCAGAGGAGGGCCTCCTGAGGGCTGGGGAACCAAGGTCGCAGCCCCTTCCTCGCCTTCAGCAAACGTGGTTAAAGGGTAAACTGGGAGGGCTTGAAAGGCTTGTGCTGCAGAATCCTCCCTCCCTCCAGGGCAGCTGTGGGGCACCCAGAACAAGCAGCAGCTTGTTAAAACTTGTGTTGGAGTTTGGAGGGCTCTGGCGGGGAAGAGGGTCCCCCGGGCAAGTGGGGCAAGGCCAGCCAGCCTCCCTGGACCTCTTCGCCAAGGCTGGTGTGGACCACCTTCCGGACGGCTCTCTCGCAGCCACACTGTGGAACTTTAGCAGCCTGGGATAACCATTCCCATCATGCTCAGCTGCCCAGGAGGGGAGGGAAACGTGGGCCGAGGCTCCCCACCGGACCTCTGCAGGCAGCAGATATTGGAAACCGCCAAGCTCAGTTGCCCAGGATCCGGCCAGGCTGGTGGGGAGGGGGAGGAGGTGGGATGGGGTGGGGGGGGGTGAAAGCATTTGACTGTTTGGTAAGAAGAGCAGGCAGGACAGAAGGCCCATTGTCTGCCCCCCAGGAGAAGGCCTGAATGGGGCTTCCAGGAGACAAAAAGGGCTTTGAGAAGGCCAGCTCGTTAGTATGCGAGGGGGAACCACGGCCTTCTCTTCCCTTGGCTCCCCTCCCCTCCCCTCCTGGCCACCCCAATGGGCAGGAGCCCTGCCACCGGAGCTCCCCTGGCCGTGCTCGTGGCACCCCCCCCCCTGGGATTCACCTGTTCTGACCCCCAGCTCAGTGCCAGCACCGAGGGCACAGCCGGGCCCTTGCCACCTGCGTCTCTCTCTGCTTGCCAAGTGTGATGGGGAGGGGGGTGTTGGACTCCCCCCTGCAGGAGGGCCAGGAAGAGCCAAGCTGGCAACCCACATTTCTCCCTTTCTCTTCAGCTCAGCTCCGGACTCCTCTGGGCGTCTCCGCTGCTCCCTCGGAGTTGGGGGCTTCTGGGCCGGGGCCGGCTGAGCCACGGGATCATTTCCACAGAGCTCCCACAATATCCCTTTAGTGGTCCCTGAAGTCAGGCAGGGAACCCACAAAAAGACCCCCAAGAGCTTCACCTCCTTTTGGTCGGAAAGAACGTTTACACTCGGACGCAGGGAACCCTGGGAGGTCCCGGCCTTGGCATCCCTGCTCTGCCCGCCACCACCCTTGCCCTGGCGAAGCGACATGGAGGGGTGAACTGCCCGGAGGCCACGGAATTGGGCCAAGGAAAAGGGCTCGGACTCCCCTGGGAATGCGGGCAGGGAAAGCAGGAGAAACCTCGGGGGGGGGCAGAGGGGGAGCGGAGAGAGACGTTTCCTAGAACCCCAAGTCTGGTTATCAGAGGAGACGTCCAGGCGTTTCAGGAAGATCCGCCGGGCAGTGAGTGACTGTGGCCCACCTGGAGGGTTCCTGGCTGGGCAGGGCAGGCCAGGGGGGTCAGTGCAGCCCTCAGGCAGGAGTGTGGGGCCCAAAGAGCTTCCAATTGCCTTGACTGCCCTGCCTGCTTTCCCTCAAGGCCTCCTTCTCCCTCCAGCCCCCCAACGCTCCTGGTTTCCCCAGCCCCCCTCGCCTTCCACAAAGGCTCCCCATACCCAGGAGTTCAGCCCCGAAACTTCTCCTTTCGGCACCCATGGAGGTTTTTGGTCTCCTGCTTTTGGGGAAGCCCAGGAACCCTCCTCTTCCCATCCGCCCCCAGGCAGAGAACTGGGGCGGTGGGATTCCCTTGGGGTCTCCCCCTGGAACATCCCACATCCATGCAACCGTCTCCCTCGCTGAGGGGGATCCGAGACTTGCCGACAGAAGCAGAGAAAGGAGAGCCGTTTGTCCCCGGAGGAGTCAAGGCAGGCACCCTCTGGGGCAGGTGCCTTCTGTGCTCTTCTGCAGGGTGTCCCCAGCCCCATCACCTGCTGGGACTCCCGGAGGGGCTCCTTAGCAACCCCCTCCCCTCGCCTGCTGCCTCACCCCGTCAGATATGCCAGCAAGAGGGGCCCCGGCCCAGTGGGGGCACCGAACCCTCCTGCCCACGTCCCAGGTGGGAGAGCCTTACCTTGAGCTCGGAGAAGAAGCCTTGGGCTGCAAACCTTCGCTTGGAGAGGACCTTCCCTCCGCGCCCACCTGGCCAGGAAGGCGTCCGCTCCCCTGTTTTCCAAACCTTCCCCGGGCGAAGCTTCTCCCCACAGGGCTGGAGAGGTTGCAAGGCTGCGCAGACCGGCGTGTGGGGGGCTGAAGAGAGGTGAGGCGCTTCCACCATCAAATCAGCGTCCTCCAGGTCTGCAAGGCTGAGCCTCCCCCATGGATTTTATGCCTCCTTTTCCCCCTCTCGGCAGCTGACAAAAGTTTGTTCAACTTCAAGTGAATGAAAGGATTATTTTTTTAAAGGAGGGGGCAGCCGAGGGAGGCGACTGACGTCCTCAGCCGGCCTATCAGAAGGGAGCCTTGCCAGGAATTGTGGAGAATGGAGAAGCAGGAGGAGGAGGAGGAAAAGCGGAGAGTGCAGAAGAAAGGGAAAAGGGGCAGAAAGAGAGAGAGGGGAGGGAGGACTTGGCCATGGGCCGGAGGGGGAGGGAGGAGGGGCCCCCACTGGAGAAGCCGGGGGGGGGGGGTTGTTGTTAAAGTTTTAGTAGAAAGTTAATGAGCTGGAAATCAAGGCTCTCCGTCCAGGCGAAGGGTCAGAAGGCGAGGCGGGCAGTGGCTGTGGCCAGGCAGGGCAACAGGAGGAGGAAGCGGGCAGCAGGGCAGCCGGAGGGGCCCGTAGGTTCTAAAGGCCACTCGCCTTCTGTCCGCAGGGGTCACTCATCTCCCTCCAGGCCTCATCGCTGGGGGTGACCCTGAGCAGACAGCCGCCCCACAGGATGGGTACCTGTGTCTGCCCACTTTGGGTCAATTCGGGTAGATCTCTGCTCGCTTCTCCGTCCTGTTCCCCCACCCCACCTCCAGGGGGGAGAGGAGCTGAACTTGCCTGGGAGCCCACTCCCCGCGTGCAGCCCCTGCCCCGAGGTGGATGAGGTCCCCCGCAGGCTCCCCCAGAGTGAGCAGGGATGTCAGAGAAGGCCCCACAAGGGAGTTCAGGGACTGGAGCCGAAATCTGCCAGAAGGAGTCTGGGGTCCCCCTGGAAGCCACATTCAGGGGCTCTCAAGTCCTCTGGCTGCCTAATCTGGAACAGAGGGGCCCCCAAGGGCCACTGCGTTGACCAGAGACTGCAGATCTCAGCGCCTGGCAGCCCTTCCAGGCCCTCAGCCAGTTCCTGCGCCCCCTGCCTGTCAAGCAGGGAACTGCTGGGGTGAACTTCCCTGTTTTCTTTTCTCCTTCTAGGAAATGAAGCTACTGAGCCGGTTCCTTTCTTCCCTCTGGGGCTTCCTTCAGGCGACACCCCCCTCCTCCTCCCCCTTTCAAAATCCCCTCGCTTCAACGCTGAATCCGCTTCTTCTTCCTCTTTGCTTTCAGATTATGCTGGTACCACTGGAAAAAATGTCAAGCAGGAAACGGGCCAGGGGGAGTGGGGGGGTGGGGGTTCGGCATAGCAGGCCCCATGGAGCAGAAGCCCTCGGACCTGAGCGGGTCTGGGACCCCGGGAACCACCAAGCCGGTCCCATTAGCACACCAAGCCAAGAGCCGAGACAGAAGCTGGGCTTCCTTGGAGAGGAGGAGGCAGCTGGGGTGTTCCTGATGTGTTTCTCATGGGATCCGTTTGCTGCCATCACTGGTATCCCTTGCCAGCTTCTCTCGTGGGTTCTGCCCATCTTGCAACCGGATGAGTCTATTCTCTGCCTAACAGGCACCGCTGGCCTCGCCCTTCCTTCCCTCCCTCGCTCTGCACAGCACCAGAGACCCTTTGGGTGTTCGGGGAGAATCGAGAGCTTTCTCTTCCATAGGGAACGTTTTCAGCAAAGGCAGCGCAGGATCCTGGGTGTGGCCATGGCCCTCCTGAGCACCCCTGTGAACAGGAACCACACACTCCCAGAGCCTCTGCTTTAAATGGAGTCTTTGGGAAGAAGCAAAAGGAGGAGGGAAAGTGTCCTTCCTTTCTCCACTTCTCAGGCAAGCCCTCCTCCGTGGGAAGACCCACCACTCTCCTACCCAGGCATCCACTGGACCCAACTCCCCTACGTCCTTTCAGGATGAGCCCAGGCCGACTAGGAGCTGCAGGGCAGCGCTCAGGTGGCCTCCTCCTCTTCAGCAAGGGCCCCTAAGGGCTGTGTCCCCCAGAGTTTGGGCAATGGGCCCTCAAACTGCCCAGCCTCCCCTCGGGAGATGCAAGATTTCAGCTGAGGATCACTGGTTTGGGTCAAAAGTTGGCATCACTTCCAATGCGGGTCAACCCTCCTTCTTTTCTTGGTGAGGGTCCTGCAAGGAAGATTCTCCCCCTCCCCCAGGTCTCCCGCCTGAGCTGGGGGGTGGGTGAGAGAAGGCTGCAGTCAGGAAAGGCCCAGGGGTTAGGGAGGAACATCGCTTTCCCAGACAAATCTGGATGCTTCTGGAGCTCGGAATCTCATCTCCCCAGATCAACAAATAAAAAAAAAAATGAACTGAAAAGGCACAGGAGGTGAATCAGCTGCCTCTTTCTCTTCCTTTCCTTGCGTGGCTGGCAGGAGGCTACGCCAGCTGATGATTATGTCAGTTGTAATCCATCAGCCCCGCAGGGACCATCCGCTGGGAAGCATGGGTTTGGGAGTGTACCAGCGAGGACCCTGCTCCCCTCCGTTGCCTGCTGGCTGAGGGTTCTGTGCGCCGCAGGTTTTCACGCGCATCCCCGTGCGATTCAGCATCCCAGCCGGAGGAGGTCCAGAGCGGTTGCCTTGGTGACGGCAGGGAAGAAAGGGCGCCTGGGAAGGGGGCAGATGACACGCATCAGGAGGGAGGGAGAGGAAGAGAGCAATCGGGCTCGGAGCTGAGCTAAATTTAGGAGGAAGCCAAAGAGGAGGAGGAGGAGGAGCGGGAGCGGGAGGAGGAAGCGGGCCCGGGCGTCTGGGTCTGGGCTTCACCCCCGGCCAGGGATGTCCTGCGGGCAGCGGACGAGATGAGTGTGCGAGGCGGATCCGCTACAATCGCCCAGTCCGGAGCGCAGAGCCGTTTCAGCACCACCAGGTGAGAACAGCGCCGGCCCAGGGCTGGCACCGCCCTGGAGGGGGGAGGCTGGGGTCCCCGGCGGCTCTGCCCAAGCGGGGGTGGGGCTTGCCTGCCTGTCCTTTCTGCTCCGGGGGCTTCTGAGGTGTCCCCCCCCCCCGATTCGCTGGAGCCGTCTTTTCAGGAATGGGGGCAGTGCTCCTTCCTGTTGGATAGGCCTCCTTGGGGCAATTTGGGGAAGGGGATTTGAATAGATCCCTTGTTATTAGCCTGAAAGGGGTGTTGGGCTTGCCAAAGGGCCCTGTCGGAAGAGGAAAAGCAAAGGCTGTGCCCTCTATGAACTTTGCCAGGCATTATTTTCCCTGTGGACCTCAAGATGGTTATGACTATCCGTCTTATTTCCTAATGAAAACATCCTTTATTTTCTAATAAAAACATCAGACCAGCTCAGGAGCTGGGCAGCCTCCGGAGCCAGAGAGAGGCAGATCCTGCTAAGAGGCCGGTCTGACTGCTGATGGGACCTGCAGGCTCAGCTCAGCACAGGGCTCCTCCTGGGGGCCCCCGGCACAAGGGCTGAGTGCGTGGGACCCCTGCGGGCCAGTAGGACCCCCACCTAGGGCCTGTAGGGGGGAATAAGGTGCCTCAGCTAACCTCCGCCTTCCCTTTTGGCCCACGAGGGAATGGATGGGACCGGGAGGGCAGAAAGACCAGGGGCCTTGAGGTTGGGGGCCCTGCAGAGCAGCCAGAGTGCCCCCTCCCCCGTGAAAAGACAATTCTGCCCCCTTTCTCTGGCAGGGCATGTGGCTGGGAGTAGGGAGGCCTGTCACTCGGCAAGTTTACACCTGCCAACTCACTCCGTGCCCTCGGGGGAGAAAGGGGGGAGATAAATAGGGCTTCATGAAGGTGCCCCCCCCCCTCCGGTCCAGGAAAAATGGAAACGGACCTCACTAGAGCAGAGAACAGGCCCTTCTCCCCACGGCAGCCACGCAGGCTCTCTTCTGCCCCCCTGAACAAGACGAGAAGCCCAGGGAGGAAACCCTTTGCAGGCCACCTGTCCCTCCTCCTTCAGGCCGACTGCAGCCCCGGAGTTCCACTTCGCCCATCGCAACAGCATTGGCCTCTTTGGGGCTTTGCCCGGTTTCCACTTGATGCCCGAGAGGCCGATGGGCCCATCCAGCATCTGTGCCCAGCAGAGTCCCTAGATGAGCTGAATTGGAGGAGGGAGGAAACCCCTTTGCCACACACCCAGCCCTCTCGCCTTCTCGCCACCGGGACCTTTCAGGCCGGCTCAGGGCTCCCTCCCCTCCCAAGGAAACAGCCGGGAGAATATCGACTGGGGGGGAGGGGGACCTTTGCTTCCACCGTGTGGGCACTGTTTAAAAATAACCCGCCTCTTAATTGGAGGAGGCCATCTGGGTAGTTTCTCGGCTGCTGGGGGTGCCCTCCGCCCCCCCTTCTCCTACTTGCCTGGCAGGAAGTGTGGCGGCAAGGGCCGGCCCTGCAGCAGAGCAGCCTAGACAAGAGAGCAAACCTTCCCTTGCAGGATTGGCTCCTTGCTCGGCCTCCACTCTGGACTCCCAAACCATCCCCAGGTCCTGAAATGCTCAGCAAAGAGGCCCGGAAGGGCCGTGTGCAGGTGAAGGGTGGGGGCTGCGCTCTGTTTGCACCTGTGCAAAGGCACCGCCTGTGCTCAGCCGATGAGTCAGTGTTTTGCACAAACCCAGAGCGTCTGTTTCCAAGGGCAAAGTTCACCCCACAGACACCCAGAAGCCTCCTGGGAAGGTGGCCCAATTCTCCAGCTCTGCTGCCCCAGCGGGCGCCCTCCGAAGAGGGTCACCGCCCCTCTTTCCACCCCCCCAACCAGCCCAGCCATGGGCTTTAGGACTCCCCAAAGCAGCTTAGGAAGGCTCAGTTTCACCCCAGGGATCCTTTCTCTTCCTCCCTGCCGCCCTCCTCACTCTGGGCTCTGCCTTTCCTTGCAGATCTGGAGGCTGCCCAGCGCTACGATGGCCAAAGACAACCCGGCTTTCTCTGCCGTCCCCAAGACCCCCGTCTCTGAGGGCAAAGCGCCCCTTTCCTCACAGCCGGTCAAGTCGGCGGCCTTGCGGCGCCTGGGCGAGGGCCCCGAGAAGGCCGAGAAGAAGCGCGGGCGCCAGCGCTACGTGGAGAAGGACGGCAAGTGCAACGTCCAGCACGGGAATGTGCGGGAGACTTACCGCTACCTGACCGACATATTCACCACTCTGGTGGACCTGAAGTGGCGCTTCAGCCTGCTGGTCTTCATCCTGGCCTACGCAGTCACCTGGCTCTTCTTCGGCCTCATCTGGTGGTTCATCGCCTACTGCCGGGGGGACCTGGACCACCTGGGGGACGACGCCTGGACCCCCTGCGTCAACAACCTCAACGGCTTCGTCTCGGCCTTCCTCTTCTCCATCGAGACCGAGACCACCATCGGCTACGGGCACCGCGTCATCACCGACAAGTGCCCCGAGGGCATCGTGCTGCTGCTGCTGCAGGCCATCCTGGGCTCCATGGTGAACGCCTTCATGGTGGGCTGCATGTTCGTCAAGATCTCCCAGCCCAACAAGCGGGCGGAGACCCTGGTCTTTTCCTCCCACGCCGTCATCTCGCTGCGGGACGACCACCTCTGCCTGATGTTCCGGGTGGGGGACCTGCGCAACTCCCACATCGTGGAGGCCTCCATCCGGGCCAAGCTGATCAAGTCCAAGCAGACCCAGGAAGGGGAGTTCATCCCGCTCAACCAGACGGACCTCAGCGTGGGCTTCGAGACGGGTGACGACCGCCTCTTCCTCGTCTCCCCACTGATCATCAGCCACGAGATCAACGAGCAGAGCCCCTTCTGGGAGGTCTCCAAGGAGCAGCTGCGGAAGGACGAGTTTGAGATCGTGGTCATCCTGGAAGGGATGGTGGAGGCCACAGGTAGGTCGGTGGGCGGGGGCTGTGGCGGGGGTCTCCAGGCTGCCCGCTTCAGGGAAGGCGCTGTGGTTTGGTTTCCCCACCAGCCACTCCTAGCCACGTGCCTGTGACGGTCGTGTGTGGCCCGTTTTCCCGCTGAATTCATGCCCTCCATCAAGAGGCCTCTGGATGGGTGTCAAGAGAAGCGTCCTCCCCAGTGGGATCAGGAGAGCGGAATTGGGATTAGAAATTAACGCCTATGAACTGGTGGCTCGTCCTTGTCCTGCTCCCCCTACCCACCCAAATGTCCCCCCTTCCCCTGCAGGGATGACGTGCCAAGCCCGGAGCTCCTACCTGGTGGATGAGGTCCTGTGGGGGCATCGCTTCATGTCGGTCCTCAGCTTGGAGGACGGGTTTTACGAGGTGGATTACAACAGCTTCCACCAGACCTTCGAGGTGCCCACGCCAAGCTGCAGCGCCCGGGAGATGGCAGAGGCGGCAGCTCGCATGGACGCCCACCTGTACTGGTCCATCCCCAGCCGGCTGGACGAGAAGGTGGAGGAGGGGACGGAGAAGGGGGAGAAGGAGAGGAACGGGAACCTCACTGGCACCGAGAACGAGTCCAAGGTCTAAGGGACCGCCGGACGGGCAGAGCGAGCCAGGGAGCCTGGGCTGTGGCAGAAGGCGCCCAGAGGGGGCAGGGGAGCCGTCTGGGCAAGTGAGACCCTCCGGCCGGTTTGACCTTGGGGGTTATCAGCACGGACTCTGCGAGACCCAACCGAGAAGCTATTCCTGAAAGCGCCCGTGGGCAGGAAGCTGGCAACCGAAGCCATCGGGAGGCAACGTGGAACTGGAAACCACATTCCATGGGGGCCCAGACCCATTGCTAGGAAAGAGGAGGGGAGCGGGGGGGGGGGCTCCACAGATGGGCCCTGGTGGTTTTCTCAGCACGGAGATCGAGGGGGCTTTGGCCCTTCCTACTTCCTGGGCTTCCCAGCTGAGCCCCGAGCGCAGGTCGTCTCCCATGCAAGCCCCAGCCACATCTGACCCTGCTTAGCTTCCCCAGCTCAAATGGGGAAAGAGACTCTCGGGGCAACAAGGGATCAGCCTGGGGGGCAACTGGGGAACGAGGAGGAAAGGTGCCAAGTTGGGGGGCTGCACAAACAAGAAGGCAGTGAAGACGATCGGTCAGGACCATGAACGCCCTGCCTGCTCTCTCCCCCCCCCCCCCCCCCCCCCC